CCCCCGGGTCCCGGGGAGGAGGACAGGGCCCTGGGGGAGGGCTGACCGCTGACGTCGGGCCGGGAGTCGCTGCCTCGCTTCGGAAGCTCGGGGACCAGGTCTCCAGACAGACTCCCCGGGGGGCCTGAGGCGCCAGCGGGGGCCCGGGGATTCGGTTCCAGCCCTGGCTCCCCAAGTCTGGAGGAGGAGGTAGGGTCGGGAGAGGAGGCTCGAACCCGGGCTCTATGGTCTTCACCGTGGCTGTGTGACCTTGGGCTGATTGACTAACGTCTCTGAGCCTAGGTTAAAAACGAGTTACCTTTGAAAGGCTGGCGACTGGCGAGGCCCTCGGTGAGCGTGAAAGCAGTGGAACCTTCTGGGTCGGTTTTCTCTTCCCGAAAGGGGGATGTACAGATCTGCACCCCTCCGGCCTCCTCGGGACCATCCAAAGGCAACAGGACAAAACAAAAGTCATTCTTCTTCCTCGACTTCTAATGGGGCCTGAATTCTCTAGGAGGCCGCGTGTATGAAGTCTCCGCACCAAGAGGGATGGGAGTGGGCCCGAGGGCCCAAGGGTAGAAATTTCCAAGTAAGACTGTCCCCTGCCATCTCAGTTTGTGGGGAAGTGTGTGTTGTAAAGATGGGGATCCCCCTCTCCGTCACTAAATGGGGTAAATGACATTATCTGTATCTTTCAGACAGGCCGGCAGCTCCCCCCTGACTTCACCCAAGGATTCAAAACAACTCACTTATCTCTTTTCCCCCAGGAGCCACGTGAGAAAGGGGGAAAGCTGCAGTTATCTGCATTCCCAGTCAGATGGTCATGGGATTGCACCACCACCGCCCAGGAGGCCTAGTAAAAACCCTCAAACCCAGCCCGCAGGCCCGGGGCAGGAGGCCATGCCCTCAGCCTCCACATGTGAACCAATGGAGAGCCAGGCCTGGACTTCCCCGCAGAACCAGTCTGGGCCTGAGTTCTTGCCAGTTTTGCATCAGAATCACCGGAAGGGCTTGTTAAAACAGACTGCTGGGCCCCACCCCAGAGTTTCTGACAGTGGGTCTGGAGTGAGGCCCCACCTGGGCTATTTCTAACAACGTGCTCCTCCTGCTGCTGGTCTGGGGGCCCTGCTTTGAGAATCACTGAGCTAAGGCAAAGGGGAGCTAGCCAGGCCAGCCCCTCTCTGCTAGGGGCCTTTCCACCTGCCTTCTCCGCAATCATGGGTCCCAGAAGCCAGGTTCTCCTGCCTCCACAGCCCTGGGCTCCAGAGCAGGGGCTGACATGGGCATGGAGCACCTGGTGTTATAGCACAGTAAGAAGCTAGGAAAATTCCAGGACAAGCGGAGTAAGGAACCTAAGACAGATAGCTCCCTGGAGCCATTATGGCCCCAAACCCGAGCCCTCTGCCCTGAAGCATGCTGGGATGTACTGACCCTGACTTGACTCTGCAAGCTTCCCAGCTGACGGCCTCCTTTGCAGGGGGGGTCCCCTTGCCAATGATGAGGGCCCCTCTTCTCTCCCGACTTTGCCCTGGATGGCATTTTGACTCTGACCCCCCTGAACTAATTTGATTAGTACATTTCAAGATTTCTAAATGCGCCATTCTCCAGCTCCTACGTATTTTCTGGATATTTATGTGATTCTCAAACTTTTCCAGCAATAGACACACCTCCACCTCATCCTTGTGTTTTGAGAGATCCTGGCTCAGGACCCCGTCGCCATTCTCTGATTGTGGCACCTGGGCATGATTCTTGCATTCAGGGTCCTCCTGGGGTGTCTTATTTTTCATTCCCCCCTTGGAACCCCCTCTGATGTGTTGCTAGATGGGATGCTGCCCGATTCATGAATCACTTAATAAAGCCAATTGCATCTTCACATTTACTAGGTTGAATTATGTTTTTTTAAAGATTAAAACAGAACATTTTTATAACTTCAAAAAATTTTCAGAATTCTACATGATAGTTTCTTGATTGAAGAACATACATGTTTGCATGTGGATCCCTAGACTCCCTGCAAAATACTCCTGCCGTCCTGCCCTCGGTAAACTGGGAGCCGCTGTCTGAACTCCTGACTGACTAGCAGAGAGGCCATCGTGCTCCTTTGTCCATCGAAGACCCCCTGGCGTGCTCTGCAGGGCGTGGGTGACAAGTGCATGGTAGGGGCTGAGGGGCCCAAACTCCAACTTCCAAACTCAGAGTGTAAGGAATGGCGTAGGTGTACATTAAACAGTTTCATGTTTATCTGTAGGTGTAGAGAGGTCTTTCCTAGTCATGGATGTAGGATGTCCTAAACTCTCTTTCCCCCCAAACCTTCTTCTGGAAGTTTCTTGCTCTGACTCGGTGTGCCTCTCCCCCTGGAAGTCGGTTACCCGCTGTGGCAAAGTGCGCAGGCGGGACGTCGCCGAGGCTGTGGCTCAGGGCTGCTGGCTGAGGGATTCCGTGGGGCGCGAAGGGAGGAAGAACGTTTTCGTCATTTCCCCTGAGCGTGGGCTGCAGCAGATTTATTTTGAACTGAAGGCATTTGAGAATAGATTTTTTCCTGGAATTCCCTTGTCTAAAAGCAGAGCCTCTCTCTGGTTCACGGGCTGGGGCTGACAGAAGATGGAGGAACAAGAGAGCAACAGACACGTGTATTAGCTTGTGCATCACACAACAAGGGAGCACATTTATTTTGAACTGAAGGCATTTGAGAATAGATTTTTTTCTGGAATTCCCTTGTCTAAAAGCAGAGCCTCTCTCTGTCTGGTTCATGGACTGGGGCTGACAGAAGATGGAGGAACAAGGGAGGAACAGACACGTGTGTTAGCTTGTGCATCACACAACAAGGGAGCACTCAGTGACTAGAAACTCAGAGGGGCAGTTACAACTGGCCTGATGGGAACAGAAGGAAGAAGAATACATTTGTAGGAAAAGACAAAGGAAGGCTTCGGATTCCCAGGGTGACCAGTGGGAAGGTTAAAGGAAGGGAGGGCCAGTGAGTAGGCTGTTATGTGGATTCCTCTGGTGCCTTCTCCAAGCTGATCAGGGTCTAGGGTTATCTCAGGTGAATAAACTTTGTCCTTTCTGGCAGAAAGGGGAGGGGACACCTTTACAGATGTATGTCCTGCTGTGAGGTAGACAGGGACAGGGCCCAGAGCTCTACTTGGCTCTGCTTCTCAGTTGCTATCAGCTCAAAATAATCCTTACGCCAAAGTGCAGATTTGGGGTTTGGCATATCTGG